AGACACTTGCCTGGGACACAGTGTTGTCCCCAAACTGGAAACCACTGAGGGCGCACGGAGCCAAGGTCCTTGAGCAGCCACGAGGGGACGGGATTCTGTGCAGGTGGGAGACCTCCCTGCTCATCTGCCCAGGAGTGGGCCCTGGGCTCTCAGTGCTCTGCCAGGGCTGAGACAGACACTGCGTGCTGACAGCTTTGACGGGCACACAAGCGTGTACACTCAAACACACGTACGCCACAGCATTCCAAAAACCAACCAGTTTGTCTCACAACTTCACAGTTTAGCTTCAAGTCACTGCAGAGCAAACACAGGCAGTTCCCCACCCCCTCCTCTGCACGCTCACCACACGCTCAGGCTGGGGGAGGGACAGCCAGGCTGCGACAGGTGGAGTCGGGCAGAGGCAGCCAGAGTCCCTCATTCTCCTGGGAGGGACAGCAACTCCCACCCACATTAGTCAGATTTTCATCACTGCATGGAAATGCATGAGCCAACTCACACAAGGAAAATGGTTTGTTTTATTTAAAAGACAGGGTGGGGGCGCTGGTGCTGTGGCATAGGGGGTAAAGCAGCCTCCTGCAGTGCTGGCATCCCATATGGGCGCCAGTTCGAGTCCCGGCTGCTCCACTTCCAATCCAGCTCCCTGCTGTGGCCTGGGAAAGCAGCAGCAGATGGCCCAAGTCCTTAGGCCCCTACACCCGCACAGGAGGCCCAGAGGAAGCTCCTGGCTTTGCACTGGCACAGCTTGGGCCACTGTGGTCATCTGGGGTGTGAACCAGTGAACAGAAGACCTCTCTCTCTCTCTCTCTGCCTCAGCCTCTCTGTAACTCTTTCAAATAAATAAATCTGAGAGAGAGAGAGAGATGGAGGGAGGGAGGGAGGGAGGGAGGGGTGGGGAGGGGAAGGGAGGGGAGAGAATGAGCTCCCATCTCGCAGTTCATTCCCCCAGATACCTGCAACAGCCTAGGCTGAGCCAGGCCTTCCACATGGGTGGCAGGGGCCCAAAATCTGTGGCCATCACCTGCTGCCTTCATGGGTGCACCAGCAGGAAACTGGAATCAGGATGGAGCGAGACTCAAACCCAGAACCCAATGTGGAATACAGACATCCTAAGCAGCATCCTTTTTTTTTTTTTAAGATTTATTTTTTTGGGGCCGGCGCCACGGCTCACTAGGCTAATCCTCCGCCTTGCGGCGCCGGCACTCCTGGTTCTAGTCCCGGTCAGGGCACCAGATTCTGTCCCGGTTGCCCCTCTTCCAGGCCAGCTCTCTGCTGTGGCCAGGGAGTGCAGTGGAGGATGGCCCAAGTGCTTGGGCCCTGCACCCCATGGGAGACCAGGAGAAGCACCTGGCTCCTGCCATCAGATCAGCGCAGTGCACCGGCTGCAGCACGCGGCCACGGCGGCCACTGGAGGGTGAACCAACGGCAAAAGGAAGACCTTTCTCTCTGTCTCTCTCTCTCACTGTCCACTCTGCCTGTCAGTCAATAAATAAAGAAAGAAAGAAATATTTATTTTTTTGAAAGGCAAAGTTACAGAGAGAAAGAGGGAGAGACAGAGAGAGACGTCTCCCGTCCACTGGTTCACTTCCCAAATGGCCGCAATGGCTGGAGCTGGGCCGATCTGAAGCCAGGAGCCAGGAGCTTCTTCCGGGTCTCCCACACAGGTACAGAGGCCTAAACTTGAGCCATCTTCCACTGCTTTCCCAGGCCACAGCAGGGAGCTGGTTCGGAAGAGAAGCAGCGGAGACTAGAACTGGCATCCATGTGGGATACCAGTACCACAGGCAGAGGCTTAGCCCACTATGCCACAGCGCCACGCCCCCAAGCAGCATCTTAACCACTGTGCAAACGCCTGCCCTGAGAAGTTTAACTTGACACGGTTTTGGAGGGTCAAGTCTGAGATCTGATGGCCATGTTGGCTTGACCACGTAGTGAGGGCAGCAGAGGGCAATGGGCGGCCGTGCAGAGGAGCCCAGGGCTCGTCCTGTGGTAGGTGGCCTTGCTGGTGAGCGCAGCTGCAGGCTTTGAGCACGAGCTGCTGAGCACGCGCCCCCTGACCTGAGGAGCTCCCACGAGGCCCACTTCCTAAACGCCGTGGCTGGATGTTCACTCTCAGTACCACTAATTTAGGACTTTGGGGTTTATGTTACACATGAACTCCAGAGCCAGATCACAGCCAGACTGTAGCCCCTCCCTCCCTACCACCAGCGTCCTGGGCGGGCAGAGGCCACGCAGGTGGCAGGGGTGACCAGCAGGACAGGAGCAGAATGGACAGGGCCACCTCCTCTGTGCCAGCTCCCTGTCCCAGCATGAACAAAGCGAACATCAGCCACGTGGACCAGACCTCCACACCAGCATTGGCTCAATCCCAGACAGGGCAGCCCGGTCCTTGGGTGAGTGTGCACGACCTGGGGACCTGCAATGGACACGATGCCCCTGTGCTCTGCGCGCGACCGCCCTCTCAGGACTGGAGCCCAGACACCAGGGGTACAGCTGAGACCTCACCCCAGCAGTTAAAGCCCGAGGACAGCGCCCCCCCCCCCCCCCCCGTGCACATCCTCAGCCACGGGACAGGGTGGGAAGGCTCCGAGACACCTGCTCTGGGGCTGGGTGCTTGGGCCCACCCCAAGGGCCGAGAGCACAGCTGGAGCTCACAGATCCTGCCCCAGGGCCCCTGAGCCGGGCGAGCACTGGGAGGATGGGAGAGAGACCTGCAGGTGGGCAGGAGGGACCTGGAGAAGCAGCTGCTCAGAGACCCGGGGCCCTGGAGAGAGCAGCCCCCTGGCAGATCCTGACGCCTCCAGGAGCGGCTAGCAAGAAATGCCCCAGACCACCGGCCACCGAGGCAGAGGGAAGGGCAGCGGCCAGCAGCCAGTGGGGAACCTAAGGAGTGGTGCTGGAGCCAAGGCACGTTGACGCAGGCCAGGCCCCGCGTGCGTCCGTGCGGCTGTGGCTCAGACCATCTGTCTCCTTAATGAAGCTGTCGCCAGCTTGGGCTGACTTGCCAGGAGAAAAGGGCACACTGATTAAGGCATAATGACTCCTCGGCGCTGTTGCCACGGCGGGGGTCTCCACGTCGCCAGTGGGGGAAGAGGGCCTCACAGGTCCCGTCGGGAGCCCCCAGAGTCACCCCAGCCCCACCCCAGAGCCCGTGGATGTTAGGGAACCCGGATGGGGGTGGGGGAGCTCAGCGGTTAGGATGCCGTCGGGGGACCGGCGCTGTGCTGCAGCGGGTTCAGCCGCCGCCTGTGACGCCAGCTTCCCAGGCAAGCACCACTTGGAGTCCCAGCTGCTCCACTTCCGATCCAGCTCCCTGCCAATGCATCTGGGGAAAGCTGTGGAGGATGGCCCAAGTGTTTGGGTCCCTGCCACCCACATGGGAGACCCAAATGGAGTTTGGGGATCCTCTGCTGTAGCCATCTGGAGAGTGAACCAGTGGGTGGAAGATCTGTCTCTCCCTGATTCCGCCATTCAAATAAATGAATATTAAAAAAAAAAAAAAAAAAAAAAAACAGCTGCCCCTTGGGACACTCAGAGCCCACACCCGAGTGAGCTTGAGTCCCAGCTCCACCCCCAACCCCAGCTTCCGGCTCACGCACACCCTGGAAGGCAACAGGTGATGGCTCCTGTGGTTGGCTTCCTGCCTAGTGGGAGGCCCAGATGGAGTTCCCAGCTCTTGTGTGGGTCTGGCCCAGCCGACATTTGGGGGATAAATCAGTGAGTCAGGGATCTCTCGCTTGCTCACTCTTGCTGTGTGCATGTGTTTTTTTTTTTTTTTTTTTTTTTTTTTGACAGGCAGAGTGGACAGTGAGAGAGAGACAGAGAGAAAGGTCTTCCTTTGCCGTTGGTTCACCCTCCAGTGGCCGCCGCAGCCGGCGCACTGCACTGATCCAAAAGCAGGAGCCAGGTGCTTCTCCTGGTCTCCCATGCGGGTGCAGGGCCCAAGCACTTGGGCCATCCTCCACTGCACTCCCTGGTCACAGCAGAGAGCTGGAAGAGGGGCAACCGGGACAGAATCCGGTGCCCCGACCGGGACTAGAACCCGGTGTGCCGGCGCCGCAAGGCAGAGGATTAGCCTAGTGAGCTGCAGCACCGGCCTGCATGTGTACCTTTCAAATAACACTACAATGTTCTACTTAGAAAGTGGGGTGGGGGAGTATCATCCTGGATCCCCTGAATGGGCGCAGGGTAACCACGGTCTCCAGGAGGAGGTCGGGGCACGACCACTTCGGCCTCTAGGCTGGAGGGCCGGCCACCAGCAGAGGGACACATTCAGCCTCTAGCAGCTCAAATGGCAGGAGGAGTCCCCTGGAGACCCCAAAAGGAGGCAGCCCTGCTGATACCTACTCTCTGCCAGCGAGACCCACGTCATTGAAAGCTGACCTCCAGAATGGCAGGAACGGAGGGGAGGGCTGTCTAATCCACCAGTGGGTGGGAGTGGTTGCAGCAGCCACAGGGGACTGGTAGGCCAAAGGCCCTGGTGTCCAGCTCTGCAGCTCCACGGCCAGCTGATGGCTGGGTGCTGGCCAATGATACCAGCCAAAGGCTTTCCAGAGAAGCCAGCGTTTTGCAATTAAAGGGAGCAGACATGGGAGGCAGCTCTGTCTTGTGCCCAGTCCTCCTGCCACTTCCCCCGCCCCAGAAGGCTCAGGAATGGCTGGAGGTAGGGCCAGCCACACACTGCGGACAAGGCCAGAGAGCAGAAGAGAGCAGCGGGCACTGCCACCCCGCCCTGGGAGTGCAGCCCGGGCCAGCTTCCCGTGCAGTGATGTGACGGACGCTGGGCCACGCCGCAGGCGGGGACGGGAAGCAGACACAGCCCTGTGGTGACGAAGGACAGCAGTCCAGGTCCAAGGCTGGCTGTGGGGGAGCCCGGGGCGGGGAGGCCCAGAGCAGCGGTGCTTGGCCAGCAGCCACAGCACAGGTGGACCCGGCAGTGCGGGGCCAACAAGTCCAGGGTACCGCAGAGCGAGCAGGATCACACAGGCATGCCACACACGGTACAGGAGGGTGCCACCCACACACAGGTGTGTGTTTATTGCATAGAATTCCTCATAGCACCTCCCCCCCTATATTTTTATCATCCAGAAGAAAAGGAATTCATAAAGTATTTCATCGTGCTCAGTCTTAAAACATACAAACACGAACATCAGGAAGACAGACACACGTTACTGTGCTAAACCGAAAAGTACACAAAAGCTGCCAGCCAGGAACCCAGGATGCCACTGACAGGCGCTGACGTCCACGGCGTCAGCACCCACACTGGGGACCTCCTGGGCAGCTCTGTCCCCCGAGGCCGCAGCCCACAGGGCGCCCTGACAGCCCCAAGAGGGAGATGAGGCAGCCCCCAGATCTCCATGGACACACACCAGGCACCAACAGAACATTTAAAAGCATCCACGGCTGCACCCTAGGGACCCTGCCAAGGAGTGGCGTCCACTTGTGCGGCAGAGGGCAAGGCTGGAGTGTGACACAGGCTCAGAACCACGTCCTGGCTGTCACCTGTGCAAAGATGGCGCCGAGCCCTCCTGGGCTGTTCCCTTCTAAGAGTCAGTGCTCAGCGTGGGGTGGACGGGCCCTGAGGGCAAACAGGGGAGCCAGAAGCACACAGAAAGGAGAGAAACAGACCTGCACCTGCAAGGAGTGAACGTGAACAGGGTGCGTGCTCCAGCCCCGCACCTGGGCCCCTCCGGGCTGCGCCTGCTTCAGAGGCCACACCTAGTGCTGGGCCACCTGCCGTCTCTGGAGGTCACCACCTGGCCAGTGCTCGGAAGACCCAAATCCCTGTGAGATCCAACAACGAAACAGCAATGCTTCTTCTCCAAGCCCCGTGTGCGGGTGTGCGGCGGGCGGCACGCAGGCCAGGCCGACTCAGAAGTCCTGCAGCTCAGGGATGCTCCGGTACAGGTCCAGGGTGTCAGGGTTGGAGAAGGCCCCGCGATGCTCCACGGCCCTCCCCGCAATGACCTGCTTCACGGCCACCTCCACTTTCTTGCCGTTGAGTGTGTACTGCGAGGGGAGGGGAGAAAGGGGACAGAACTCTCAGCTCAGACCCACAGCCAGGCCACGCCCCCAGAGGCACACCCGCGGCCAAGTGCTCAGAGCATCCTGCTCTTCCAAGGGGCAGTGTCCTGGCCCAGGCCCAATACCAGCTCCATCTGCATGACCCGCCCATGGTCCCCAGGTTTCCTCTTGCTGCCACTCAGGACCCTGGAACCCAGCCGGCTGGCTCACAGCCCCCAGGCCTTGGGGCAGGCCGACTGCCACACAGTTCCCAACCAGCAAAAAAGACAAAGTCTCTCTGAATTCAGAATTCTGCCCAGACACGATGGAGATCCACAATTCTTCCTAAATCCCAACAGGAAGGAAGCCACCACATCTGGCAAATTCCTTACCCTGAGCTTGGCTTCTGAATAGAAATGGGGGTGGGGGTATGACGGCACCAGCCCCAGAGCTCACAGGCACAGTGCAGGAGGGCCTGGCTGCCAGGCAGACAATCCCTCACTCACCAGGAGTTGACTTGCAACTCATTGAAGTGTATTAAATGTGCTTTATTTTGTTCTGAGAGGCAGAGAGAGACAGAGCCAGAGAACACGTCCACACACTGATTCACTCACAAATGCCCACAACAGCTGGAGTCACAGCCAGGAGCCAGGACTCAGTCAACATCTCCAACATGAGTGGTGGGAACCCAACCACTTGAGCCACCGTCACTACCTCCCAGGGTGTGCGTGAGCAGTGAGCGGCAGTTGGGGCCAGAGCTGGGTGTGCGTGAGCAGTGAGCTGCAGCCGCCGTCGGTAGCAGGGCTGGGAGCTGAAGCCACGCCCCCGATGCGCAGTGTGGGCTATATGCCCCGTCCATATGCGTTTTCCGCTCACAGCGAGGAGCTGGTTGGAGTGAGATGCCCCAGGCACATCCCCTAATCCTGCTTCTACACTGACAATACTGCAAGTCAGAAATGCATTCCACACACCTCGTCCAGTGCTCGGAACACGGGCATTGCCCTGAAAGGCCAGCCCACACGAGGCCACCTGCAGCGACTTGCTGGGCACACAGAAGACAAGCAGTGGTTGTCCTGAGGGGGAGACGCGCCGGCTTGCAGGTGTGCGCACCGTCTCAGCGCTGTCACAGGCAACTGCACAGCAAACCGCCTCGGCCAGGCTGCTAATTTCACTGTACTCGAACCCAACAGGAGGACCACCATGGCCACCGACTCAGGCCCTGGCCCCAGGAGTTGCCCAAGGCATCTCACAACTGCTGGCAGACACTAGACTCCAGGAGGCATGTCGTGTGTGGCACCCAGGGGCTCTGGGTGGCAGGGGTGAGTTCACAGGCCAGAAACGGCTGAGGCCACCATTAGCCATAGAGGCAGGCCACCAGTCCCCTGAGTGCCCGCTGCACTGGCACTATCTCTTTTTTACCTAAGATGTAATTAAATTCATTCATTTGGGGCTGGTGCTGTGGCGTAGTGAGTAAAGCCGCTGCCTGCAGTGCCGGCACCCACATGGGCACCGGTTCGAGACCCGGCTGCTCCACTTCGATCCAGCTCTCTGCTGTGGCCTGGGAAAGCAGTGGAAGGTGGCCTAAGTCCTTGGGCCCCTGCACCTGCGTGGGAGACCCGGAAGGAAGTTCCTGGCTCCTGGCTTCGGATCGACACAGCTCCGACCATTGCGGCAACCTGGGGAGTGAATCAGCAGACAGGAGACCTCTCTCTCTCTCTGCCTCTCCTCTCTCTGTGTAACTCTTTCAAGTAAAATAAATAAATCTTTTAAAAAATTCATTCATTTTAAGAAAATGAGTGATGTGTGAACTAATTAAGGCTGTAAGCATCGCTTCCGAGGGAGCACCTGTCGTTAGGCACGTGCCTCCAGCCTCTCACCAGGACGTGCAAATGTCTTATGTGCCTCACGTGTGACAGAGCGTTACACAAACGCCACCAGTGCGGTCCACGGACAGATCAGCCCCACCCTCCAGCTGGTGACAAACAGGCTGGCACCGTCTCCTAGGGAAGGGTAGAACCCCTAGGCTCCCATGTGGGCCTCTCTCGGAAAGGGACCTAGGGACTCAAGACAGGGGGCCCTCCAGGCCCACACCTGCTCCCCACAGCCAAGTCCAAGTGCGAGTCCCAACGTGTGGCCTGGGGTCAGCGGCAGGCACAGCGGGTTCCAGACACCCCTTCCCTGGGCAGAACCCCACCGCACAGAGTCCTCATCTGTGAAGTGGGTGTGCCCACTCTGTCTGAGCACCTGCTGCTGGGCCAACAGGGGCCTCCACTCAAGACAGAGAGACATGGATGGCAACATAAGTCACCTCCACCAGGTTCCTGCTGCCGTGGTGAAGCCGGGAGCCAGAGGGAGCCACAGGCCCCTCGGGCAGCCTCTCAGACCCTCGGGCAGAGAGCGGAGGACATCGCGTGTGAGGCACCCAGAGCAGGGCCACGGGCCACAAGTAGCAGACGCAGGAGCGCCACGGCTACGTCTGCACCCGGGCCCGCGACACTCACCACGCAGCTGCCGTCTACCACCTCAGACATGAGGCCAAGGAGGCTCGGGGATGCTGAGCACTGCCCACAGCCGAGCCTCAGGGGAAGGGGCAGAGGGGATGCTGAGCACTGCCCACAGCCGAGCCTCAGGGGAAGGGGCAGAGGGGATGCTGAGCACTGCCCACAGCCGAGCCTCAGGGGAAGGGGCAGAGGGGCCGTCAGTCTCAGCCACTCTGCTGCCAGCTCCCGCTGATGCGCATGGGAGGCAGCAGTGATGGCGCAGGTGCCTGTGCCCGTCACCAGGTGGGAGACCCAGACGGAGCTCCTGGCTCCTGGCTCCGGCCTCCTCCAGCCCTGGCTGCCGCAGGCATCTGGGGAGTGACACGGGAAACAGAAGCTCTCTCTCTGCCTCTCTCTGTTCCCGCCCCCCAGCTCAGCCACACGAGCAGATCCACTCCTGCATGTCCTGGAACATGGGGGTCTCAAGATCCCAGGGCACTAGAAAACCCGAGTGAGCCTCAGGGTGCCTGCATGGAGCACTGGCCTCCGGGAAGACAGGACACGACTACACAAGAGTGCTGCTGCTGTCCTGGCTCTCTCGGACAGACTGCCCACTGCACCCGAGACCCAGTGAGCCTGGGGTGACCACTCTGGCAGCAAAGCACACAAGGGTTTTTTCCAACACAATGAAGCTCTGGTTCCTGTGAGTGCCCCAGGCAGGCAGAACCGGCTTGGGCCAGAAAACCTCAGACTGCCTTTGGGAAGACAGGAGGTATCACTCATCCACAAAGCGCCTTCTCCCCAGAGAGAGTCATGTCTCCAAGGAGAGCTCGCTCTGAAAACACAGAGCAAGGGAGGAAAAGAAAGCGCCCAGCTGTGAGGCTCCGCCCACACAGCGCCAAAACGAAAAGCAAACTAGGGACAGACACGGCAGGGGGCAGGAGAGGAAGCAGGTGTCCCAGCAGTGGGAAAGGAGAGGAGGAGCGGCCTCCAGGAGCGATGAGGTGGCATGCGTACTAGGCACCCCTGTGCAGGCAGATGTACCCCCTGTACACGGCAGGTACGCCCTGGTCAGCACTCTCCCCACTCCCACCCCTGGTTAGGCTGTCTGACGACTTTCTTAAGGCAGAGAAAACGGCCCAGCATGTTCCAGGGATTCAGATTCCAGGGAGTCGCGGATTTCAGCACTGCTGCATTTCTGGTGGATTCCTCCAACTGCACCTCCCAACTCAGCCCTGCTCACGGCCAAGTCAGCTCCACTCCCGTGGTCTCGGAGGCTTCAGACGGAGCCCTCAGCAAGTCTGTGTGTTTAGATAACACACAGGCACACGCAGGCACAACCGGGCACACGCAGGCACACATGGGCACACACAGGCACACACGGGCACACAGGCACACATGGGCACACACAGGCACACACGGGCACACGGGCACACATGGGCACACACGGGCACACACGGGCACACATGGGCACACATGGGCACACATGGGCACAGCCTACTGAGGCAGTGACACCAGGTGGCACTGCTCCTGTGGTCTCCCGGAGGCTTCAGACGGAGCCCTCAGCAAGTCTGTGTGTTTAGATAACACACAGGCACACACGGGTACACGCAGGCACACACAGGCACACACGGGCACACAGGCACACATGGGCACACACAGGCACAGCCTACCGAGGCAGTGACACCAGGTGGCACTGCTCCTGTGGTCTCCCGGAGGCTTCAGACGGAGCCCTCAGCAAGTCTGTGTGTTTAGATAACACGCAGGCACACACGGGCACACGCAGGCACACACGGGCAAACGGGCACAGCCTACCGAGGCAGCAACTTGTACCCAGGGCAAGTTAAAGCAGGCTCTCAGCTGGGACCGTGACAACCCCCCGCCCCCGCCCCCGCCCCCGCCCCGCAGCAGGAGCACCAGTGCTCCAGCGCTCTCCACGGGTCAAATTCATTCCCTCACTAATACCCCTGAGAACACAGAGAGCCACCAGGGGAGAGGCCGGCAGGGCCTGGGGGCCAGGGGCTGCTGACCCTCAGGGGCCCACCACTTAGCAGCAGGCTTGGGGGCAGCAAGGACGGCGGAGAGGCGGGCAGTGTTGCCAGGCAACGTGGCCCCCTCACTACAAAGCACAGGAGAGAGGCTGGGTGTGCAGGCGGGGGGTGGGAGACGGTCGTACCGGGATGCCCTGGGTCTCCAGGATGAGGCTGGGAACGTGCCGCGCCGACAGGCCCAGGCGGATGGCGTCCCGGATCCGTTTCACCAGGTCCGGCTGGAAGGTGTGGCCCGAAGCCATCTTCAGGAAGAGGATGACCCTCTCCTCGCCGTCCCTGTTGTACTGGGGCACACACAGGCTGTCCATCACCTCCTCGAAGGCTTCCACTGTGGAGAGGGTCAGGGCGCAGAGGGCCGGACTCAGGCTGGAAGCTGATGCACCTCCCAGAGCCCTCGCCGAGGGAGCTGGTGTGCAAGCAGAGACCCCATCACCGGGGAGGCGGTGGGGGGCAGGCTTCAGGAGGAGGCCCCATGTGGGCGGAGCTGGTGCAGGGAGGGGGCACAAGGCAGCATCACTCTGGGGCTCTGGCCTGGGCCCAGGTAGGAGACCCCTCCCAGGAAGGCTGGGCCTGAGTCCCTGGCCTGGTCGGGCTCTGCTGGGTGGTCACGGGGCCCAGGGGCCTGCACTGTCTGGACATGGTGTCCTGCACGGCGCTGTGGGACTGCGCTGTGCTTCTGCTTCCTCCCAGCAGAGGAGACCCAGTTCCCACCCTGGCACACTCACCGGGAGGACTCAGGGGAACAGGGACGGGCCACATCACTCACAGCCCCGCTCTGGGCGTGGGCAGCGCTGCTCCGAGGGGGACAGGCTGGGGGACACCCACGCCCACCCAGTCATGCTCCTGCTAGGCCACTCCCCGGCACCTGAGGGAGGGAGGAAGCCCGTACCGATGTTGTAGATTTCCGAACTGCCAAACCGCACTCCGTTGGGGTTGAGCGTGCCGTCGCTGGAACAGGCGGGGTCGTGAACACCAGGCAGTGAGAAAGCCACCACCTCTCTGCCGCCCCTCCTCCCGTGCCCAGCCCCCACCCCTGCACCCACACTCCAGGGCCCAGGACTGGGGACAGCCCACAAAGTTACAGATTGAGGATGGGGTCTTCAGCCGGAGGCCCCATGTGGGCTGAGGCAGAAGTGGGAGACCCCCAATGGCCAGCGCAGGGGCCCAGGATGGCTGCTCCTCCCCTGGGAGGCGCCCCCTCTGCCCTCCCGGACACCCCTGGGAGGGGCTGTGAGAAGAGAGACCTGCCCTGCAGACCCTCACCTCCGGCCCAGCATGACGATGCCCCCGGTCTTGGGGTTGATTCTGCAGTAGTCGCCGTGCGCCCAGACACCTGAGAGAAGGCAGAGGAGCTGGGTCACCGCAAGCAGCCACCTACAGACACAGGCCAGACAGCGTGGGGATGCCGGCTGGCTGGCAGGCAGACACGGGCCAGACAGCGTGGGGACGCCGGCTGGCTGGAAGGCAGACACGGGCCAGACAGCGTGGGGACGCCGACTGGCTGGAAGGCAGACACGGGCCAGACAGCATGGGGACACCAGCTGGCTGGTGGGGCGTGGTGTGGGGCTGGAGGCGGGTATGTGGGGGCAGAAGTGAACCAGTCATCCCTGTCTCTCAGCGCCCCCTAGTGGGGGCTGCTGCTCACCCAGCTCTGCCCCATGCTGGTGGGGAGAATGACCACTCCCAGCTCGGCAGGATCAGCCCCACCAGACCCTGGAGGCCAGGGGTGCATCTGGAGAGGGGGAGACAAGCAAGGCTGACGGAAGTGAGCATCTTGGGGCAGCGGAAGGGGCTGGGGTCAGGTCTCAGCACAGAACACACAGCTGTGTGATGGGGCAGGGGGCTACTGCCCAGTCCCAGCTGCACTAAAGCCTCAGCCTCGTGGAGAGAGGGCCGACCAGCAGGTAAAACCAGGGCACATGATGGGCAGGGAAGAGGGAAGAACAAGACTTGGCCTTCCCTGAGCCGAGCCCACGTGGTCAGCCGGCCCCAGTACAGCCCCATGTGTGGCTGGGTCTCAGCACTGAGAGGGAGAACCCCAGTGGCGGGCAGAACCCCGCCTCTTCAACATTTAAGAGGAAAGGGCCCTTCCCCACACCTGCCACACATGGGAGCAGCTGAGGGGCCTTGGCCCGCCACGGCCAGCTGGCCCACAGGAGGGGCAGGGTCCACGTGGCCAGAAGCAAGCACACCTGCACGGGCTCCGCAGTGACTCGGGCGTCGTCTGTGGCCACCGCCACCGCAGCCCAGGGAGGGAATGCACTGAGCAAGAGCACTGACGGCGGCGCCTCCTCGCGCCCAGGGCCTGAGACGCTGGCCTCTCCAGCACTCAGCCGCGAGAACAGCTGGGGCGTCTGCTCACCAGACGCTGGCCTCTCCAGCACTCAGCTGCGAGAACAGCTCAGGGCGTCTGCTCACCAGACGCTGGCCTCTCCAGCACTCAGCTGCGAGAACGGCTTGGGCGTCTGCTCACCAGACGCTGGCCTCTCCAGCACTCAGTTGCGAGAACAGCTCAGGGCGTCTGCTCACCAGACGCTGGCCTCTCCAGCACTCAGCTGCGAGAACGGCTCGGGCGTCTGCTCACCAGACGCTGGCCTCTCCAGCACTGAGCTGCGAGAACAGCTCGGGCATCTGCTCACCAGTCGTCCCAGCTACAGCCACGGCCGACCCTTCGCGGAGACGAAGGCCACACCTGCCTGTTTGGAATTGTCTTCTCAGTCATCTAAATTTATTTATTCACATCTTCCACCGACTCCCAAAACGTATCTGAGGAAGCTACTGATAAAGCTGACTTCGTGATGGGATTATTTAGAGTCAGAAACCCTGATCCAATCACTGCAACCAAGCAACGAGTTCAGCCCTGAGTTTCCTGGCAGCCAAGGCAAGAACAGAAATATGGCAGTTTAGTCGCCACTCGGAATACCCAGACCCACTGTGAGAGCTGCTGGCTCGAGTCCCAGCTCTGCTTCTGGCCCAGCTCCCTGCTGGTGACCGCCTGGGAGGCGGCAGTGCTGCTCACGTACCTGGGCCCCTGCTACCTCCACGGGAGAACCAGATCCTGGTTTCAGCCCTGGCTGTTGTTGGCATCTGGGGTGTGAACCAACAGATGGAAGATCACTCTCCACCTGTCCATCTCTATGCCTTTCAGATAAAATGCAATCAATAAATTTTTTTAAAGATGTAACTCCTTGAATAAAAAACCCCAATACCTTCCTAGAGATGTGAAGAAAGCAAGCAAGCGCTTGGCACAAGCGACTCTGGGCAGAAGCCTGCTCAAGGCTGTCTCACAGCAACACCGCCAAGCGCTGCTGAAACAAGACGAGCAGGAGGCAGGAACCAGGCCTTCAAGACGGACGGCCCTGCTTTGGGGCAAGGCATCCGTCAAATGACAAAATGCGTGGGGTCAGCCTGTGGGACAGGGACACGGCGGCTGCATACCCGCCTGGCACAGAAGCGCCCTTCCCCCAACGTCTCCAGGACTGGGTGGAGGCATGGCAGCCGGAGAGCAAGAGATCCGAGCCAGGCAGACATGATCCGGTCCCACGCACCCATGCACCGCCTTCACCCAGGCAAGCTGAGGCTCCCAGCGGCTCCCAGCGGCTCCCAGCGGCTCCCAGCAGCTCTGGGCCCCTGCGGCTGGGACCACACCAACCCCGGATGGAGGCTCTGAGCCGAGCGGGAGGGGACACTGACAGAGGCCTCTGGCAGGTGGGCCTCCCCTCCTCTAGAGGCCCTGCCGGGCAGGGTCCGGGCAGCACTGCAGGCTCACCAGCGACCCACCTGGGAACTTAGAGAAATACGCCTTCCTGTACTTGCTCCCGTTCTCGTCGTTCCAGAAGTGCGTGGGCTGGCAGGGAAGCGGCTTCGTACACACCAGCTCTCCGCTCTGTCCCCAGACTGCCCGTCCTGGGAGGGGAGAGGAGACACTGAACCAGCACGCCGCACGCTCTTCTCCTCCACCATCACTGACCCTGCCCCGAGCCCAGCACTCCTCCCCGCACGACTTCCTGCAGCCCGGCTCCGGGGCTCCCAGGATGCAGTGTTTCATGACCGCCAGGTGTGACGGAGCGCACAGCGTAGCCACCCGAGCCCTGAGCGGTACCGCAGCTGCTCTGCTGTTTCTAAGCCTCACGCAGACGGCTTTCTTGCACCGACCCCCTTGTCCACATGTGGAGTGTTTCTCCCGGATGTGGGGCCCGCCCACGGGGCCTTCTCTCTGGAACGGCTGCCCTGGGTCCCTCCAGCAGCCAACGTCACAGCCCAGCACAGCACAGGCTGCAGAGGGCGTGAGAGCAGGTGGGAGGGCACCCTGGCAACGGCGTGCCCGGGCGTGGCGAGCCAGAGGGCCCTCGGCCTGCACCTTCCCCAAGGCCGCAGATCATCTTCTGAGAGCAGGGTAAGCCGTCCTTGGGGAGTCCCTCTCAGGGGAGGGGTTTCCCTCCCGCACAGGCCCCAGACGACAGGAAGGAAGCAGACACGGGAGCCGAGAACACCTAGGAGCACATCGCTCTCTGCACAGCAAACCAGCAAAGCCCTCTGCCCAAAATAAGAGGCACCTTCCAGAAAGGTCGCCGGCAGCATTCTTGGTGACCTGCTCGAGACCCCCGGCTCTAAGCTGGTGCCGTCACCACTGCTACCAGCTTGTCCCCTGCCTCACAGAAACAGGGCAGGCCCAACTCAATAACTGAGTCTGAACCCACGTGGTGCACACGCCACATACCAGGGGACACAGACAGGCTCGAGGCATAAAGCCAAGGGCTCAGCCGGCAAGGGACAGGGGCCACCCTGCCAGGGCAGGGCTGCTTGGGGAAACCATCACCGCGCAAGGTGACACGTCCAAGTGCTTCCAGGTTACCCCCAGCCCCGGCACAGAGAGAAAAGCAGTTAGTGTCACCTTCTTCATCCCACGCCTCCACGGCCATGGCCAGGTTCCGGGCCTGAATCTCCCCTCTGTGCACCGGGATGGAGGAATTCTGGCCCATGAAGCAGGAGATGATGTCGGTGCCACCTGCAAGCAACAGCAGAGGGAAATTCACATTCAGAGAATTCATTCAGAGACCGAGATAAACCACTCGCTCATCAGCAAAGAGCAAAGAACCCAGAAGGGCAGTGCTGACCCCTCCCAGACAGACCCGCGGTCTGCGCCCAGCTGGAGCTGCTGCTTGGGGAGACGTGGGCACAGACTCGGAAGCGGATCGGCTTTCTGACTGCGTCTTCTCCAGAGCACTGCATCAAGCCCTCTTTCCCTTGTGTGCCCTGAACTGGTTCCCACGAACGCCAATTATTTCCCACAACACGACTTCATGTTAAGAAAACAGTTCCGGCCGGGGCCGCGGCTCACTAGGCTAATCCTCCGCCTAGCGGCGCCGGCACACCGGGTTCTAGTCCCGGTCGGAGCGCCGGATTCTGTCCCGGTTGCCCCTCTTCCAGGCCAGCCCTCTGCTGTGGCCAGGGAGTGCAGTGGAGGATGGCCCAGGTGCTTGGGCCCTGCACCCCATGGGAGACCAGGAAAAGCACCTGGCTCCTGGCTCCTGCCATCGGATCAGCGCGGTGCGCCGGCCGCAGCGCGCCGACCGCGGCGGCCATTGGAGGGTGAACCAACGGCAAAGGAAGACCTTTCTCTCTGTCTCTCTCTCTCACTGTCCACTCTGCCTGTCAAAAAAAAAAAAAAAAAAAAAAAACAGTTCCAGGGCCAGTGCTGTGGCACAGCAGGTGAAGCCACCTCCTGCAGTGTCGGCATCCCATATGGGTGCTGGTTCTAGTCCCAGCTGCTCCTCTTCCGATCCAGCTCTCTGCTACAGCCTGGGAAAGCTGTAGAGGATGGCCCAAGTCCTTGGGCTCCTGTACCCACGTGGGAGACCTGGAAGAAGCTCCTGGCTCCTGGCTTCAGATCAGCTCAGCTCCACCCATTAAGGCCACCTGAAGAGTGAACCAGTGGATAGAAGACCTCTGTCTCTCTCTCCCTCTCTGCCTCTCTGCAACTATGTTTTTCAAATAAATAAGAAAAGAAAGAACACGGTTCTGAGAAACCATGACTTGTCGTGCACACATAACACACACGCACGCACACACATCCACGCCCTTTCCAATGAACAAAAAGGACCCTCTGATCCTGCAACTGCTTCTCTTCACTCACACATCACAACCACCTTTTCATGTCAGTAATTCCGTCTCCCTCCAAACCAGTGCTCTCCTCGTGACTTGTGATGGCACACCAAGGAAGGGTGTCCCTGAACGCCGTTCACCCTGGCCAACGTCAACAGCGTCGGCAGCGGCGGTCCCCACGCGTCCGTCCTCAACAGATGCGAGGGTGCATTTGTGGAGTGCTGTGTGCTAACACTGAAGCCCCTGCGCAGTCCCTCCCAGTGAGCAGTGAAACTCGGGTCTCGGGGCGCACGTCCCCCCCAAGGGGTTCAGGCGGCTGACACTTGGCCTTCCAACTCAGCTCCCTGGCCGCGAACTGGTTGGCCGGGGCCTGAAGCCTCGCTCTGGCACTTAACAGTGAGGCAGATATGGGAAGCTGCCTTGCATTGCTAGATTTCATTTTCTCTTTTGTGAAATAATCCAAGTGGAATCTGCCAGCAGGAGCTGTTTTCGGAAGCTGGGGTTCCAAGTGCTGAGACGCGTGTGCTGCCCCCAGAGCAGGGGCCGCAGCAACCCGGCAGGACGTCACTGCCTCGGCGTGAAACCAAGTGCAGGGACTCGCTTGGCCAGAGGGTCTGCTCACTTACAGGGGGCCCCAGAGGGGCCAGGAGGCAGGGGTGGCCTCTCCTCACACCTTCAAACTGCTCGAACCCGTCCGCCCACCCCACACCCCGCAGCCGGGGAGCCGCACCTGAGATGGAGCCCAGGAGGCGCTGCTCTTGATGCACCTGAGACATAGTCGTAGCTCTGCGCCTTCAACGGGGAGCCGGTGGACAGGATGGTGCGCAGAGTCTGCAGGCTGTGGGTCTCCACTGGGGCGGAGAAACACGGAGATGGAAACCACGGCTGGCACACGGGCGCCCACCCCCTGCCCGGTACCTCGGGGGCAGGAACTCCGAGAGCACTCACCTGGCTTCATGTCTTTCTCTTCGAGTACCGACAGCCACTTGGCACCTGTTCCCAGGATGGTGATGCTAAAGGCACAGGCAGGAAGGAGAACGAGGGACTCAGGGCTCCAGCGGGTGCACACGAAGCCGTCTGCATTCGGCAACTTGCATGGCAGCTTGCACTCTCAAGGCTTGGCGTTGCCCTGGGGTGAACCCGACTTCCTCCTTACCTGAGC